AGAGAGAGAGAGAGAGAGAGAGAGTAATATTTTTATACACATATTTTAATTTGCAAAATACTATTAATTAAACTCAACTAAAATTTTTGTTTTAATGCAATCTGTCTGTTAATCTCTCTCTCTCTCTCTCTCTCTCTCTCTCTCTCTCTCTCTCTCTTACTCACTCACTAGTAATTTAACCGACAATATATAAAAAAAACATAAAAGGGAAAAAAGATAAAAATGCATATTATTATGAAAAAATAATAAAACAAAAATGTGAAAATAGTTTTTCACTTTTTCTTTTAATCTCTTATTTTCACTATACGTTTCCCATATTTGGGACGAAAATATTTTTCCACTGATATAATAACTATGTTTACTCTGTGTGTATGTATGTGTGTGTATGTGTGTGAATGTATGTGTGTGTATGTGTATGTATGTATGTATGTGTGTGTGTGTGTGTGTGTGTGTTTGTGTGTGTAGAAAATAAGAAAATATTGTATTTAATTAACCAGTAATACAGTATATATATATATATATATATATATATATATATATATATATATATATATATATATATATATATCGGTGTCATTGATTGTTGTTATATACTGTATGTATGTGTGGTTAGCATTGATTTTTGTCAGTCAATTACTCTCTTTAAAAAAAAGTTGATTCCCATAATGAATAATATTACGATAGTTTTTTTTAGTTATTTATTATTATTATTATTATTATTATAAATATCCACGTAAATTATCTAGCTAAATTTAAATGTACAAAAAATAAATTTATTTATACAATCAGATATTGAAAATATTATAATTTATATATTTAWAAAAAAAACTATTTATCAAATAAAATGGGAATATATATATTTTTCGCACATATTTAGTTCACACAAATACAGCGAAAAAAATCCTACAAATCTATCTAAATTTATTTAATTTTTTAATTAAAAATAAAACAATTTTACTGGCAATTATAAAAAATTAAAAAACCAAATTTGCAATTATTATTTTAAAAATTATAATTTTTTTTTTAATTTTTGCATAAACATATATTTATTACAATGTTATTCTCTAATGTGAATATATTACTTAATTTTCAATAATATACATTATATAGATTATGCAGCAATATATATATATATATATATAGCAATTAATCGTAATCCCCCTTCCACACCCAACCCCCCCCCTAACTAACAAACAGGTCTGTTATATATTTAGCAAAAAAATAAATAAATAAATAAATAAAATAGTTTTGCCCACAAAAATATTTTGGCGCATCTGTTGAATAATTAGCTCACAACTGAACAAAAATATATAACTAAATACAGAGATTTCCTGATTATATGTTGTGATTACTACTACTACTACTACTCTAGTATTTACCAAACATTTTGTTAAGAGAGAGAGAGAGAGACAAAAATCTTTTTTTTTGTTGCTTTTTGCTATATATATATATATATATACTGAATATATTGATATAAATATTGCATTACTATTGATACTAATCGACCAAATGTTAGCTGTTTTTAGTGTGTCTTGCAGAAGTAGGAGGGGGCACACCTACCCATCCCATTTTACCCCCTTTAGTAGTTATAGTTAGTTAGGGTACTCTCTCTCTCTCTCTCTCTCTCTCTCTCTCTCTCTCTCTAACTATAGTAACAAAAAAAATTGTGTGAGAGAGAGGATATCTAAAAAAATTTTTATTTATTATATTCACAAAAAAATATTTATTTTTTTGTGCAAATCATCAGAAAAATAAAATTACACTGTAATGAACGGTATGAACCCATTAACGGGAGGCACCGTTTGGCTAGCATCATGGGGTGGCCGGCCATTGTCCCTTAGCACTACACTAGGAAATTATTGGGAGGAATCAGTCACACACACACACATACACACACTTATCTCAGACACACCACCACTTTATTAAGTGATAGCGCCGGCATGTGGTTCTATGTTTTTGCGCGCGGGCTATGTGTGTGGACACACACACACACACACACACACACATACTTTGCAACTAAACTGGAAATTGTTAGATTAGACGACGATGTGACCCTCCAAATACCACTGGACTCTCTCTCTCTCTCTCTACACACACACACACACACACACCAATGGCCCGTGCCTTTAGCCAGGCTATGAATTCCCAATGCGCTTATTAAATGTGTGTTTGTGTGGTGTTCCTCATAAAAATAATATACATATGCCCAATGCGCTGCTGACCGGTCTATACTATCCTATCCTATCTCTCGCTGCTCTCTCTCTCTCTCTCTCTCTTGGCTCGTGCGAGGAGAGCACACATAGCCTAAGGCAAGGACGACATATGGCCTACCAATACAATGCCTATCGTCGATAGTGAGAGAGAGAGAGAGGAATGTGTAGAACAACCAGTGAAAAAAATATGCCAAATGTTATGAGAAAATGCCAGTAATTTTCTGCTGTAAATGTGTGTGTCTGTGTGTATTTGCAAAAACGGCCTCCAAAAATTTTTGCTAACTGAGCGCTGAATGCAAAAATACCAAATATATGCGATCTATCTCTCCCGCGAAAAATAATTTTTCCCAAATATCATATAAATATTATAGACGACAGCCTTCACATAAACATATTAACCAAACTATTACTACTACTACTACTACTACTACTACACAGTATTTGAAGTTATAAGTTATAACAACACATATCTAAAATATACATCACTTGAATATAAATTTCAAAAACCCTAACATAAGGACCAACGGTTTATATCTAATAATAAATATTTTTTTATAAGTAATAGCTCTCTCTCTCTCTCTCTCTCTCTCATGATGTGAAAAAATGAGAGAAAATTATTCAAAATATTTGACTCCAAAATATCTGCTCTTATTTCTCTCATCCCAAACCTCTCTCTCTCTCTCTCTCTCTCTCTCTCTCTCTCTCTCTCTCTCTCTCTGACTCTTAGCTCTCCAAAAAAAACCATTGAATACAGAGCAAAAAAAACTTAGCGATAATCTCGATGAGGAATGGCATACTTGAGCTGAGCCAACACAACTCTCAACTGTCTATTCCAAAATAATAATAATAAAATTCAAAAGGACTGGGAGTTAGAAAATAAGAGAAAAAAATCGGTTGAAAAATATGTGTTGGAATTTCATATATACTGTATTATTATTATTATATAAAACTATTTTTTTAAATGTTTTTCTGATGCCTTTAACATTGAAAAGTGAAATCTCTGTCCCCTTTTATTTTATTTTTTTTCTCTCTCTCTCTCTTTATCTCATGAGAGCACATGTATGCTATATAGCGCTTATGTATGTATGTGTAGAGACAGTAAAATATGATCGGAATGTTATAATGTTATGCGCGTTTATTGTGTGATACAGTATCACTGATACTACCAGTGCCTCCCATCCCATCACTAAAAGTTTTGGTTTATACTGTATATACAAAAATATATACACATATATATAATATTGCAATTCATCTCTCTCTCTCTCTCTCTCTCTCTCTCTCTCTCTCTCTCTCTCTCTCTCTCTCTCTCTCTCTCTCTCGATTACTCATGAAATCAATTTAAAACTTATACTAAATATATTTTTTATATGAGAGAAAATTTTGTATTGTTGTCTCTCTCTCTTATACATACAGACACACACACACACACACATTAACTGTTTGCTGAGGTATGTGATGGTATTGAGGAATGTGGGATCGTGTATATATATATGTGTGTGTATGTGTTGGCCGGGCAACCCCGGGCCAGCCCTACATTTAGCAATCCCAGAGAGAGAGAGAGAGAGAAAGAGAGAGAGAGAGAAAGAGAGAGAGAGAGAGAGATCTGTTGCAGTCATCGCAACCCGTATGTGCCTATCTATCCATCCATCCGATCCTCCGGATTATTTGGTTATGGTATGTGCCAGCTGTTCATATTTTGTAACACAAGATCACTGGCATCACATCACACACACACACAGCACTGGTATACATACCACATACATACCAATCCATAGGCGCATCATTAATGCCCACTTTATCAATGAGGAGAGAGAAAGAGAGAGAGAAAAACGTGTTATTATTTATTGCAATTTTATAATACATAATAATAATAATATCGTATCTCATTATCTACTGTATTATTATTATTATGTATATTGAAGCACACATATGCCAATCTCTATGCATATTTTTTTGTGTAATTGGTATGAATTCCATAACATACATAAGCATTTCAATGTTAATTATGTATTGTTATTATTATTATTTGTTACCCCCTAAACAACAGTCTAATTCAATTACAATTACTTTTGGTTTAAACATAATAATAATATTATTGCAAACCAACAAATAAAATAATAATTTGCATCCAATGTGCATTTAAACATATATATATATGATATAAATAAATATTTTTTTATATGAATAGCAATTAATTTAATTAATGTATTTTTATTATCATTATTTATTTATAAATAAATTATTCACATACATAAAACATTTCATTATATGATATAAAATTTATATTTATTTTTTTTTTTAATTTTATACATACCGTACACACATATAGAAACTATACAGTATGTTTAAAAAAAAAAACTATACTATCAATAAATCTAATTATGTGTAATTCACATCAGAAACTAAAAAAAAAAACAACAACAAAAAAATTATAATATATTTTTCAAATGACTTTTCCTTAAAATGAGATTTCTTTTTTTATTGTTGTTGTCGTTGTTTGGAAATAAAAGAGTAATRAATAAAAAAATTCAATTGCATTTTAATGATACTTTTAATTTAACACTAAAAATCTCCATTAAAAATATTTATTTCATTTCTCTCTCTCTCTCTCTCCCCACTAATATAATACCCTATCTATTGCTAAATGTTTRTAAAGGATTTTATTTATTATCAGATTTTATTGTTGTTGTTGTGGTGGTGTTTATCGTCAATTAAAAACATTATCATTTCTATTTGAATTTAATAATATTAAACAAAACCAAACCAAACAAAACAAAAAAATTATTATTATTTTTTTTTTATTGCTGTTGGCTATCATTTGTGACACTTTTAATATCATCAAACTTTTTGTTTGCTATTATTATTATTATTTTTATTCTCTACGGGTAATGACGGTTGACTTCGGTCAGTCTCATTGGCACCGGTAGTCTCTGCATAATTGGTGGTAGCCTTATGGGTGRTATTAGACGTACCACCACTGCTACTACTACTACTGTCACCAGTAATTTGTTCGGCTATCGTATCAGCGTTTTTTGGTTTCAAATAGTTGACAATATCTTTCAAATGATTTTTGGTTAAACCTAATACTTTGCTGGACTCTATCTCGGGATCGGCATCTTTGTCCACCCGATAGAACGGTTTGAAATAGTTGAGGACATCAGTGACGTCCTGCTGGCGTAGCCGATGCTGTGCGGCAATGGTGGCCGCGTCGTACTGATCCGGATATTTGCTATGTTTGCCGATAAAATCAAGCGACCGAATCAAACTGATTCGGCCGACGGGCACCACATCGGGTTCGACATAAGCGTGAATCGGTATTTCGGTTCCGTCTCTCGACTGCGGCAGTCGTGATCGGACCCGGTCTTTGATTTCGTTTATTTCGCGCAACTCATCGTCGCTAAGCTGGTGTTCAGTGCTGACCACTTTGAAYGTYGACATCCGATTCAATAGATCATTACTTTTGTCGTGCAATCGTTTTACTTCGGGATTACCTGATCGTCGGGTGTAAAAATAAGAGACCAGATGTTAATTATAATTATAATAACAGAAAAAACGATCGGTAATTATGTYGTATKTAACGGACATACTTGTGGCCAACGTTCGGAACAGTTCGGCAGTGCCATCGTGACGCGGCGCMACTTTCGGTATCTCCCGTTGCCGTTCAATSGCCCGTTCGGCCCGATTGTCGACATTCCATCGTTGGACAGGCCGTCTAACAAAATAGCCGTACAATCGTTTAGCTCCGGCGCCCATCAGCTGATAGATACGGTCGATGTCCATGACTTCTCTCTCTCTCTCTGAAAACTGTCTCTCAAATGTCTTATCTGTGGTCACATAAACATCGGTCACTACACTGGTCTGTCACTCAACAATACATGTGTGATTGAAAACAACAACACGTGTTATATTAGTCAATGTTATTGTTTGTTTGTTTTATACACTAATAATAATATCGTATTATAGAGTTTACATTGAATGCAATGTTAGATAACAATACTAAATGTAATAATAATAATAAATGTTAGACATTGTTGTTGTTTGTGTTTKTTGGTTGTCAATAGCAACATAAAACCTAATTGGAATGTGTGTGTGTGTGTGTGAGTCCTAGCAATGCGTACATACTATACATACACACACACACACACACACACACACACACACACACACACACACACAYACATACATACACACACACACACACACACACACACACACACACACACACACACACACACATACATACATACACACACACACACATACATACACACACACACACACATACACACACACATACACACACACACACACACACACACACACACACAYAYACACACATACACACACACACATCAATGCATTCCAATGTGTGGCACGCATGCGCTGTATAACTATAYAGTTTAATACCAGTTTATTTTCTATACTATGGCTCTCTCTCTCTCTCTCTCTCTCTCTCTCTCTCTATACGATCAGTGCTATTGGCAATACATACAGTGTATACTACATGTTAGTTATCGTTTACTCTGTATATATACTGTATATATATATATATTTCCCATAGCATTGACTGTAGTATTGGAGTGAAAAAAAATAACATAAAATAAAATAAAAATGCATTTTTTTTAAACAGCAATGCATTCATTGTTGAGTAGATTAATAAACACTGTGTGTGTGTAGAGTATAGAGAGTATAGAGTGTATTACATAGACTATACATACAACGCGTTTATATATATACATAGCATATAAGCATTAGTTTATAACCAGAGAGAGAGAGCACTGGTATGCTGTTTGTGTTGTGATGTTAGAGAGCACAGCCTAAAAAGCTAACTACACTGTGACACCACTACACTTCCATACATACATACATACATACTATGTATTATTATTATTATTATTATATTATTATACACACGACTCTCTGGCGTAACATGTAATGAGCAAAATGGCGTCGGCTCGGGCCGCCCGCGAAAAGGCATTACACGAAATACGGATCAGTTTACAGCCGTTTGCCGCCACCACCACAACCACCGCTGCCGCCGCCACCACCACAGCACCCGTACCCGACATCAGCATCAGCAACAATAACAACAGCGGCAGCAATGGACGTCCGCATTCGTCGGCTAGCAGTACTACGTCGGACACATCATCATCGCCGGGACAGACAAGTGGTATCGGTTCAAGTGTCAGCTCAAACAATGATAATAAAGTTAGTGTTAGTGTTGTTGTTGTKGTGGTTATGTGTCTACCGTTTCTCTCTATCTCCCGATTCCTCTCTATCTCTCTCTCTCTCTCTCTCACTCAACCTTTCTATCTATAGCTGTCTCCCGATATTTAGGCCAACCTTTTGATGTTTATGTGTGTAATAGCCATGGATTTTGGTGTTGTTGTGTCCAAATTACTTGAAACTGATTGACTGCTTAGATAGACTACCAGATCTCTATTATATATGATATATTTATGTCTAACTGTCCTCTCATTGTTTACTTTTTTTTATGTGGATAACTATCCCCTCCTATATTATCATTTATTATTATTATTATTAATAACCTGTTCCTCTATTGATTTTTTGTTGTCCAGGAGTCGGCCATAACCCTATTGAAACGGGAACGACTACTACCCGATCAGCCGCGTATACTCAACAGCAACGGTCTGCCAGTTAATAATGATCACGGCTATCACACTACGGCCAGCAGCGTTGTCATAGCGGCTCATGGTCTGCCCAATGGCCATCACAACAACAACAGCCACCATCACCCACACTCCCATTCCCATCATCACCAGCAACAACAACAACTGCACAACGGTGTTGTCATCCATCAGCAGCAGCAGACGGCCTCAGCCGCCGTAAACAATGTGCTCAACTCTGCTGCAGTCAATCAATCGCCACATCACCAGCACTTTCATCATCACTCGCCTGTCAACCGAAGCCCGTCTTTATCGTCGTCTAACGGTGTCGGCAGCGGCGGCGTAGGAGTGGGCTATATTGCCAACGAACCGCCGCCACCATTACCTCCGCCGCGCGGCACTACTCTAGCGGCGGCTTCTATGCCACTACAGCCACCATCATCAGTGCTATCTGGCTGTTCGCTGACAGCGGCCGCCGCTTCGAGCGTTCAAATACCGGTGCAAAAGACTACTTCGCAAACTATTAGTAATATTATTCATAACAATAATATTAATGGCAGTGTAGTGAACTGTAATGTTAACGGTGGTACTGCCGTACCACCTCATCCACAGCTGCAGCATCTTATCAAACGTATGTCATCGTCTAACAGTGCCAGCAATAGTAGCATCAATACGACAATTGTCCACCACCATCATCACCACACAACCACCAATGGGATTGGTATTAGTAATGGTTTAGTGGGCAGTGTTGGTGGTAGTGTTAGTGGTAGCAGTAGTAGTATACATTTGACAAATAGTAGGACCCAAGCATATAGTTATGCCTCATCGGCATCCAGTTCCTCACCACAAAGAGGAACCAGTCCCATATCATTCATAAACGGACACTCGTCGACAAATGGTAGTTCTGTAGCCGCGGCCGCTGCAGCAGTTGTGGCTGCGGCCAGAAATAGTGGTGGCGGCGGTGTTAACTGTGCTACCAATTTGGCTCATCTAACCCAACAGCTCCAGAGTCTGGGACTAACTACCAGTTCGACCGTTGGACTAACGCCCCAACAGTTGCACAGTAGTCAGTATCCCCAGAGTCCTGTCAGTTTCAATTCAATCTATTCGGCTCCTCCATCCTATGCTGCTTCGTCCAGTTCGGGYCGCCAGTCGCCCACACCTACTATCAGCAGCAGTTCCGATTATGCATCGGTACCGCCCCGCGAACCTGTCGGACTTAACGGCCTGAACGGCTTGAACCTCAATATGCAACAGTTGCACAAAAAGTTGTCGCCGGTTTCATCGACGACCAGTATCTCATCGCTCACACACACGTCGCATACCTCGGCCTCTAGTTCGACCTCCAGTCTGGTCACTCGTCCGGCACTGCAGGCCTGGACTGCCAGACAAGCCATATCTCAATCGCCAGTGATTATGCAATCTGTGAAGAGTACTCACGTTCATAAGCCCGTACTGCAGACGGCTGTAGCGCCGACAATATCGCCGATAATATCGTCGGCACCGAAATCAATGCGTTCGGAATCATCGATAGTACCGCCACCCGTTCCTCCGCCATCTTATCTGAACTCATCAGCTGTTCCGCTGCCCGGATCCGTGACTAACAATCACTTAAATCTGACGCCCGAACAACAACAACAGTTAGCCACTGCTGGCCACCACTCGCCTTACATAAACTGTTCAGTGCAGAAGTCATCGTCAACGACGACAAGTAGTAGTCGGACACAACAAATACATACCGATACGGACTGTTATCCGGCAAACCCGCCGCCGTCCTATGCGACGGCTATGCAACAGCAGCAACAAAAGCTACTGTTACTCAACACCAACAATAGCGCAACAGCTGCYGTCATTGCTGACCAATCGGCGGCCGGCACTGTTGTCATCCATCAGCAGCAAAGTCCACTACCACTAAGTCATCCGCCACCCCCTCCACCACCGCCGCCCTACAAGGACGTGGCCGCCACCAAACAACAACAACAGCAAAGTGATACTCAATACGTGACTGTTTCTGTGTCGCCGTTTACCAGCGAGTTTGTTAATGGTGCCAATCAGATGCATATACCGACCACTGAGCCGCCCAGTTACGCGTCATCGGTAGCTGCATTGGCCGCCCAGCGAGCCGTTATTAATAGTACCCAACAGTTGAGCAGCAGTTCGTACAATACACGGACAACACCGACAATACAGATGCCTACACGACCGCCACCAATGCCGCCGAACTCTGATCGCAGCGATTTGGTCAATACACTGTCGAAAGTATWTGCAACTCGCAAGTCAGTGCCCTACCATCGGGTGCCCGTTTACGGCAACTGGAGGCTTGTCCGCCGCTGCCGCCCAAACCAAATCAATTGACGACCACCAGTGATGTGACCAGTATTGCCAGCAGCAACAACACTGATTTTGATTCGGACACTGCCAGTGTGTCCACTACGTCGACATGTGATAAGAAATCTGCGTCACAGCAACACAAGACGACTCATCAGTCGCCAATACCGCCCCGTAAATCCCTGTCCTACGAGAAGGAAAAGGAAAGGCGCGAATCTAAAGTAAAAATCTATTCGCCGGCCGCCTTCAAGTTCTTTATGGAACAGCATATCGAAAATGTGATCAAATGTCATCTGCAACGGGAAACCCGACGGTTACAGTTGGAACAAGAGATGGCCAAAGCCGGTCTGAGCGACGAAGACCAGAATCAGATGCGACAAATGTTATACCAGAAAGAGTCCAACTATTTGCGTCTAAAACGTGCCAAAATGGACCGATCGTTGTTTACTAAGATCAAGAATATCGGTGTCGGTGCCTTTGGTGAGGTAGCGTTGGTCAGGAAAAACGATGCCAACCAGTTGTACGCCATGAAGACATTGAGAAAGTCKGATGTACTCAAGAGGAATCAAGTGGCGCACGTGAAAGCCGAACGAGATATATTGGCCGAAGCCGACAACGAATGGGTGGTTAAGTTGTATTTTTCCTTCCAAGACGAAGACTGTCTGTATTTTGTGATGGAGTACATACCCGGTGGTGATCTCATGTCGTTGCTCATCAAATTCGGTATCTTCGAGGAGCCACTGGCCAGGTATGTGTTCAATCAATATCATATCACATATACAATAATATAAATCTTTTGAATGAAATTGTATTAAWTAAATAAACAAACAATAAAATGTTTTTTATTAATAATAGGTTCTACATCTCGGAACTGGTGGCCGCTGTCGAAAGTGTCCACAAAATGGGTTTTATTCACCGCGACATCAAACCCGACAACATTCTGATTGATCGAGACGGACACATCAAACTAACCGATTTTGGTCTGTGCACCGGTTTTCGATGGACACACGACTCGAAATACTATCAGCGCAACGATCACGATCGGCAAGATTCGATGGACATCGACGAATCGTGGTCAGTGGCCAACAATTGTCACTGTCATGTGCCGACCTCTGTCAAGCCACTGGAGCGGCGCAAACGTCGCGAACATCAGCGCTGTTTAGCCCATTCCCTAGTGGGTACACCCAATTATATAGCACCGGAGGTACTGATGCGAACGGGTTATACCCAACTGTGCGATTGGTGGAGTGTCGGTGTTATACTCTACGAAATGATTGTCGGTATACCGCCCTTCAATGCCAACACACCCGAAGAGACCCAAAATAAAGTGAGTGTTTTGTTTGTTTGSTAGGATTGTTTGGGGGGGGGGAATACCTACTKATCTATACTGTATTATTRCCGTATGATTTGTTTACTAATATCACTGTATGTTTGCTCACCCCTACCTACTCTCGGCACAGGTCATACATTGGGATAAAACGTTGCGAATACCGAAAGACCGGAACTTTTCCCCGGCATCGACCGATTTGATAGTAAAATTATGTTGCGGTCCTGAGGACCGACTCGGACGTAACGGTGCCGACGAAATCAAGCGACACTCGTTTTTCGACGGTATTGTCTTTGATGGTGATCTACGCAAACAGCCGGCACCGTACATACCGGAGATTAAACACGAAACAGATACATCAAATTTCGATGAAATCGATGACAAACTATACTCTAATGGTATGACCAACGGTGGTGGTGGCGGCGGCGGTTGCCTATCCCGTGACGACTATAACTACATCAATCAGATGAACGGCAACAACAACAGCTACGATAATAGCAAACATCCTGAGCATGCATTCTTCGAGTTTACGTTTCGCCGATTTTTCGACGCCGGCGGCCAGGCCTATCCGATAAAACTACGCGATAGCAATAATATGGTCAATAATAATAGTAATAATAATAACGGTGGTTCGGCCTCAGCCGGAACAGCCGCCACTGTCGCTACCGATAATGGACAGGGAAGTCCTGTTTATGTATGACTGACTAAATAGTTAGGTAACAAATTTTATGAGTGTGTGTGTCTATTATTGTCTAATGTCTAACACACATAATGTTTTTTTTTTAATTTAAAACAAAAAACATTTTTTTTATATATATAATTCATTTTGTTATCACAAACACAATGATGTCATTAGATATTTTTGAAATATATTGAATTTATATATTATATATATATATATATATATATATATTTCGAGTATAGAAAATATCATATATATTTGTATAGTTTTATAAATTGATATATATATATATATATTAAATAATTGATTGTGTAAATCATAGTGACTACTACTCAAAATGAATGGGAAATTTTTTTTAGTGTCCATTAAATTAAGTGCTATTTTTTAAATAATTTATAAAACAATTTTTTTAACAAAAAAAAAAGAAAGTTAACAATTTGTAACAAAATATTTGATTATTTTTTCATAAATAACATATACATATATATATATATATATATACTGTATATGTATTGATATATAATACGAGTGAGATTTTAATTGTGTGGTTAAAAAATATATCTCGTATTTAAATTGTTTTTAATGATGATATTACTGATCAACGATTTAATTGTGATTATATATATATATATATTTATATAACATAGAGTTGCCTTAAATATTATTATTAAAATTATTATATTAATTAGTGGTGTCTCCACTCTCATTACATAAACAAATGTTAAATTATAAAGAAAAAAGATTATTATTATTATATTTAAAATTATTATTAATATTATATATATATATATTATATTATTTACTAATTTAAGATGAAAATAGTATTTTTTAACATTAAAAAAATCTTAACTAAACAAAAATCCTAACGAAACAAATCGTGGATTTAAAAGTGTTCGTAAAATAATACAAATCTATGAAAAAAAACTATATATTTATATTGAATAATATTTTGTGTAATGTTATGTATCTCTCATTTTCTCAAATTATATATATATATATATATACTTAGCTAAAGATTTATATTTAAATTAATTATATATATATATATATTGAATATTTGTGCTAAAAATTGTTTACTCAATATATATATATATATATAATTGTAGCGAAAAATTGAAATATTTATTATATTTTTTAATTATAACGATTGAGAATAACATTAAGAGTACAAAACATTAATATGTTTTTTTTATATTATTATTATTAATAGTTTGCTTTTAAAAACAAAAACTAATATTATTTTTATAATTGGGGAAAAATAATTTTGTCCAAAAAAAATGCTTTAAAATTTCAAACCAATATTTTTTTGTATTTTGTGTAAATCAATTAATTAGAAATTAACTTATAATTAATTAATTGTCTTATTGTGTACATAATGTGTAAATTTGTTTGTTTTTTTAAACAAAAAAAAATGATAATTATATGAAAATAATTGGTGTTTTTGTTAAAATCCCATAACATTTCTCATATCATTTTTCCTCTCTCTCTCTCTCTCTCTCTCTCTCTCTCTCTCTCTTCCTTTATATTTCTAACTTTATTAACTAATAATATTAATATTTGATTAATTAATTGAAATCAGATTTGTATTTCAATTAATTAATTATAATAATAATAATAATAACATAAAACCAATACAATGAAATCATTGCCTTACCATTATATGATGACAATTGAAAGTAATGTATGTTTTTTTAAAAAAAAAAGAAAATAGTTATTTCATTATTATTTTGTGTTCATTTGTTTTTTTAAAAAAATTAAAAATTGTCATTAAAATAGTTGCATATATATAAAAAATTATATATAAATATATATATTTAATTATTATTATTATTATAAAAAGTTGTTTGTATATATTTATTATTATGAATATAAAATTAATAAATTAAATAATAAAAATAAAATTGATAATTAAATTTTAAAATTGAGTTTAAATTTTTATTGTTTGTTTCAAAATTGATACGATATTTAAATTTTATATACAGTATGTATATATATATATATATATATATATATATATATGTGTGTGTGTGTGTGTGTGTGTGGATACAAACAAAAATTAAATTTGTACTAAATTTTTGTTTTTTAAAAATACTTTTACTATAATTGGCAATAATTTATCAATAATTATGCGAATTTTGGTTTTAAAAATTACTGTTTTTTATTACTTTTCTTTTATTAATGCGATAAAAATGAGTAATTATTATTTATTTATTATTATTATTATTAGTTTAATTTATAATTATTAATAACTTTAGTTTATTAACTTATTTAAGTTTATTGATAATATACAAGTTTTATATAATTATTTAATTAATATTTGTTTTAATAATTATACAAATTAATATTATTCTAGTTAATTAATTAATAAAATTTATTTAAAATTCAATTTAATAATTTATATGTAATTATATTTTTGATTGTAATTTGCAAATTATTAATTACTCACAATTAAAAATTTAATAAATTTTTATTTAATTTTACTTAATTACTATATATATATATATATATATATATATATTAAAATTTAATCTAAATTAGCTAACAATTAGATTTATTGTTTGTTATAATAAATTATAAAATAATTATCAATATTTAGTTTTATTGTTTAATATATTTAAATTTTATAATTTTTACACTAAATATACAAAATTTTCCGAAATATGATATATAAGTAAATAGCGTTTTATTTTATAAGAAATATATATTAATATTTTGTTTAAAAAAAATTTCAAAAATTTCAATTATTATTATTTTTTGTTGAAACTGCATTATTCTATAGAAATATAATATACCGTAAATACTGTATTACAACAAATATATATTATTTATCGTAAACATTAAAATTAAATGAACTGTTAATGCAATGCATAAAATTTATACTTTTTTAAAACTATCTTTAAAATATATATATATATATATATATATAAAACAATCATATACATACACATATGTACACATATATATATATATATATATATATATATATATATATATATATATATACATACACACACATACACATACATACACACACATACAAACACATACACACACATACACACACACATATACACACATATACACACATACACACACACACACACACACACACATASACACACACATACACACACACACACATACACACACATACACACACACATACACACACACATACATACACACACACACACACAGAAAATACACACACACACACACACACAAATATTAAATTATTTGACACACACACATTATATTTTTTTATTATTACACACACACACTCTCTCTCTCTCTCTCTCTCTCTCTCTCTCTCTCTCTCTCTCTCTCTCTTTCTCTCTCTCTCTCTCTCTCTCTCTCTCTCTCTCTCTCTCTCTCTCTCTCTAACTCTCTTTCTGTTTTTGACATCATTTTATTATAATATATATATAACATAACTACTGTATGTTTTTAAAAAAAATATATATATATAATAACTTAGTATAAAATAATTTGCTTTTTATTTATCTCCGGCAATAAAAATGTAATCTAAGTGTAAAATTTAATGTGGAATATAGTCACGTATTTTATCATTAGTTATTTTTATCGTTTATACACAGTATATACTGTATATATAATTTTATTAGTGAGAGACACATAATGTCTTTAAAAAATATTTATCATTTTCAAGATATAAGAAATATTTTTTTTTCTTTTTTTTATATATATACCGTATATATACACATATCTAACATAAAACAGTAAAGTATGTAATGAATGCATTTTTATTGATCAATGAAATAATTATATTATTATTATTTTAAAATATATATATATATATGTTAAATTTATTTTTCATAACGTTTTTTAAAAAAGTTTAAATTGTTATCTATATTAGTCATGACAATATATATATATAATATACAGTATATACCAAACTATAATACTGTAATAATGTTATCAGTAAACAATTTTTAAAAAAAAAATAATAATAATATTTTTATTATTAATACAGGAATTTTTATTGCCTATTATATATATATATTTAAGTATTTTTTAAGATTTTCAAACTTATTGTTTAGTTATTAAATTAACAGAAACTAAGATATAAAGCAAACATACTAAACAAATATTAAGGTTTTTTGTTAAATATTATTATCTTAATATATATAATATATATATATTTGTAAATATAATATGATTATAAAGTTCAGTGTGTTTGTTAAAAGATTAACTAAAAATAAAATTTATTTTTTCATAACATAGATATATCAGTGGATTATTATTATTATTACTATTTTAAGTTAGATATTGTAATATTGTTATCTGATATGTATATTATTTCTAGTAAAACAATAGTGAGAAAAACTTTTTATTTTTTAATTTTTTTTTGCTTAGCTTTATTGTACTGTAATATAAACTTTTTATTTTTTATTTTTAATATCATATTTTAATAATAATAATAATAATAAAAGTAGATATATATATGACAGTCAAATTTATTGTTTTTTAAATTTAAGTTTATTATTACAAAAATAAAGCGACAATTTGCTAACAGTAAGTCTATTAGCAACAAAAAAAATTGTTTAATATAATTATTTAATTAATTAATTAATAACAATACTGTAATAACATCAGCATTATATTATCTATATTGTTATATTATATAATATTAATAGTAATAAAAATAAAAACAACAGTACAAAGTTATAATTATGTAGTTTTTGTAGTTGAAATTTAAAATTTAATTTAATTAATTTAGTTGTCTCACACACACACACACATAAAAAAATTTACAGTACATTAAAATACACAAAATCTATTAGTTTTTAATTGTATTGGAAAGTCTATTATAAATTTTACTACTTTATATATATATATAAATTTTTAATACATTACAATACATATACTATTAGTAAATAATTTAATTTAGACATAAAATATATTTTTTTTTATTTTAACAAACATTAAAAATTTATTTTTAAATGTGCTGGTAGTTATTTTGTCGGCATATTTTTTTTTATTTTACTGTAAAGTTTAATAATATATGTAAATTGATTGTAGATTACATTAAATTTTAAAAAGTATTTTTTTAAAAAA